TGGTCTCTCCCTGCCTCTTCGTGTCTCTCCGTGTCTCTCCGTGTCTCTCCCTGTCTTTCCGTGTCTCTCTGTGTCTCTTTCTGTCTCTCCCGGTCTTTTCCTATCTCTCTTTATCTCTCTCTTTCTCTCTTTCTCCCCCCCCCCTCTCTCTCTCTCTGAGTATGTTGAATTGTAGAAAAACTCCACAGTAGAGGTAAAAAATATTAGTACAGAGAGAGGATATGACTGTATACTTTTTTTAATTGTCAAGGCATGTATATGGTGCTGTTTCTCCCTCCAAACTTCAACAATCTGTTTCAGGGACACCCCGCACACTGCACATTTTTCATAATATGCACTTGCGCGCGAGTAATCCTAACCGATAGAATTGAGACGTTATGAATAGCGCTATTATTATTAGGTAATAATGACTTGGTTCAGCATTGTGCATGCTTAAAGAGAATTCAAGCGTTGTTCGGACGAAGAATGAGTAAGGCGTACAAGAGTCATCGTGAATGACAGTACGTAGGATAAATTCCGATTCATAACGAACTTAGGCTGTTCCGATCTTTTATTCATAGCTTTGAATCACTCTCAGGCGCAAGCGAAGAATACAAAATTTTTAATTCGCTGATATACATCCGAGCACAAGTAAGAGACAAAGTCTGTAAAAGGAACATTGTGAAAAGAAAAAATATTATAAATATAATAATGGACGGATCATTATTATACGTTTTTTGTGTCCTTTATGAGAAGAACCCTGGGGGACTTCGGTTGCACGTGACGTATCGTAAGAGACAATGACGCGGTAGCAATGCAAAACGTGGCATTAAACGCAAGACCGATTTGAGGACTTATTCGTGCGTAAATCCAGGCGCACGTGCGCACCGAATATCGCGTGCGCTAACGCGGTCTGTTCGAAAGTAGAAACTGTAAGTTTTATCACGTGGCGTTACATTAACAGGGTACTTTATCACAACGGCGGACAGTGCGTAATAGTGCGTCGAGAAAGAAATATGCTTGCAAAACGGGAAATCATGGCGAAGTGAAATCTGAAGGGACTAAAAAAAAGCAGATTTAGATTAATTGTTAATTCACGCGGGACTGGAGTCTTGGGAACGCAAACGTTCTGTGTATCATAAACGTAAACTCTCTGTAGGCGATAAAGAGATGATTCTATCTATTTTACTATTCGATTCCCCAATGCAAATTAGAGGAGTTGTTGAATGAAGAGTACTAAGAATAATCAAGAGGTGACGTTCGAAAGATTCTTTAATAGGTTTTTCTCGCACGTTTCCATATTCATATACGAAGTCTCAGAATATTCAGATGACGGCCATCAAGCATTCGTGTATGCAACTTATATTACATCAGTCTCTAATAAGTTTTCATACGTGCAGTTAACTGCACGTTGTGTGTTAAATCGACGTTTGATATTAGACATCTTATCGAATTAATCTCATCGAATTAATCTTGCGATAATGGATATATTTCTAGCCAGATATTTTTATAGAACCCAACAAACATAAATGGTAAATTTTCAATTAACAAATTTCAAGTTTTTTTTTCTTGTAACATAAATTTCAACTACTCTTATCGCCACTCTTATCAATTATTTTGACCGCTGTTTCTTCATCTCTCCACGAATTTTATTTATAAGGCTATAAAATGTGTTTCTCGAAGATTGTCTTATCTGATATCGTGACATTTTTCTTCTAAACACGACCCAAGTATATATTTCCGATCTTTCATTACACACACGTACTTATTATATTTCTTCATGTGTAACGACAGATATTTTAGAATTCACGTTGGTTTACCAACAAATATTCCTTCCACATTTCCTCCTATATTACGTTAGCGTCCGCGGTTTGCTCACAGAAACGACAACTTTGATTAAATATTATCATCGGTTAGTAATATTCCGGTGGAATTCCATCGGTGTACAAATCCTACATGCGTCATGAACATGCTTATCTCGTTTGTTCTGGATCACGCCGGCGTCTACACAACGGGAAAATAAAAGAGGAAAGGAAGTAGTACGCCCCATGGGTTTTCCGCCGGGAGGTTTGCATCGAGTCTGCTTTCTGAACATAATCCGGTATATTATGTTTCTTACTTATAATTACCGATATATGTAGCGCAGTAAAGTGAATTCATTCCACACACGATTTAAGGCTCGATCTTGAATACACGACTTTGTACACGAGGCGGATTTTGCAGGAACGTCGGGCTCGACTTGCTCCTCGTGTGAATCTTGCGAGATCCTCCTCTCACAATGTGTTTCTTTTTCCTGCTCAATAAAATAAACGCAAGGTTCTTACTTTCTGCTCGTCGGGACCTCAAACATCACCCGGCATGGTGCATTCCGCTTCGGCAGCAGAATAATCCCCGTTGGTGAAAGACGAAGGCGAGCTCTCCCGGTCGAGTTCTCCCGTAGTTAAAACACCGCACAGAATATAAGAAAAATAAAGAGAAAGATAAGGAAAGAAGCAAATCGCCCACGCGATCGCGCCGCGCGGTCGAGAGCGACTCGCCGACTGCGACTGAGTGACTGACTGACCGACTCCTCCGGCTCCGGCCGCTCCGGTCGGCGTGTACCGTCACCGCACTTGCATCGACACACGTATACCATGCGCCTGGCATCCAAGCACTCCCCGCCTGTGCCTCTGCAGGCCTTTCGTTTCCAGTTCCATTCCAAAGACCCGACCCAACGTGGCCCCAACGTGCCTTTTGTTGCATCTCGTCCGCTCCGCTCCGCTCCGCGCGCTTAGCGGCGTTCGGCCGCTCTTCCGACCGGTTCAACACGTTATCTCTCTCTCTTTCTCTCTCTTTTCCTCACCCCCTCTCTCTCTCTCTCTCTCTCTCTCTCTCTCTCTCTCTCTCTCTCCGCGTCTCTTTGGACCGCTCTACATACGACGCGAAGATCTGCCGAGTGCAATTAGCCCGTAGAACCGATCGCGTCTACTTCGAAGCCAAGCTCGATTAAACTATTTTCGTTGTAATTTAAAAGAAATGGCAACGAGTTGCAAATGGCTGTCGGGACATTCAGATCTTAATCATGTTTGATACGTGTAACGTAATTAGTCATGTGGAATTATTAATGCCCATCAGATTCTTTATCTGCATCGCAGTCGCTGAAGCTTTTTTAATACAATGTAAGCTCGTACTTTCGTCGCTTCGAAGCTCGAAGCTTCGTCGCTTCTTTCCGAGGAAAGAATATTGCAATTTAGTTTTATTCGAAACAACCCTTCACTCACTATATTCAGAATAAGTACAATCACACGCCGTAAACCGATAGATTGTGGATCAAATATCGAAGGTACACAACGAGTTACATTCTAACGTGATTATAATTTATGATGATGGTACTATTCAGTGTATGGAACATCCAAAAACCGGTACTTTATAACTATAGTGCAGTACGGCTTCAAGCCGAAACGTGAAACCTCGATAACAACCTTACTGTATAATCGATTCTGGCGCATCGAGTTGCATCGAGGCACCTCGGCCGTGGGCGATGCGTGACTCCGCGGTGCAAGAATTTTCTTAAAAATATAAATACGTTAACGACAAAACACGCGGTAGTTATAAGTCGCCAAAAAATCCGCCATCATTGTGTTGCTTATATAAATTTCTACGAGCGCATAAAGTGAAGAAATGCTTGTCGACGTATGAAGCTTATAGGATTTGCATCAATTCTTTCGGCCTATTATATCTTAATTTGGATTGAAGAAACTAAATATATAAATCTTCTTAAAGAAAAAAATATGTATAAAATATCTAGAGACCTATTTTAGAGCCAAGGATAAATTAAGAGGAACATAGTTATCGAAATTCTGGACTATTCGGACTAAGTAAAAAACAGATTAACACGTATGATCAATCAAACATTCTTTCCGCGTTTTTCATACTCCAGTTGAATTGGAACATGCTCCACATATTCGTAGCTCAAGGCCGTGTACCTCATTAATTCGTAATCCTTATTGCTAGGCAACCCGATATACTTCCTCGCGAAGAAATTGCTCGCCTACCTCAACTCTTACATTGTTTAAGAAGCTTGTAAGGTGAATTAGAAATGTCAAACACTGCATAAAATTTATAACATAAGCTCTTTCATAAATAACGTCAGCATGTAAATCTTTTAGATTTTGATCGATTAGCTTTTGAGGAATAATGAGAGTAATTATACATCTATTGGAACTTGACTAGTAGAAACTTTTATTTTGCGAGTTTTAAAACTCATGTTTCGAATAATTTATCATTATGAAAAGGGCACTTTGTATTTTAATTAACTATTTCGAAAAACAATGACAATTAAATTTATTATAATATCAATTTTAATTATAATCCATAAATACATTTAACAAATAATTAGAATACATACAAACATTCTTTTCGCATTAATTCATAATTTAAGATTAAGTTGCATAATATTGTATTAAAAAATTAAAATACATGTAGGAATACTTAAATGAATGATTTATAAATATATTAAATATATGTGTAGATATATGTATATATATATATATTTTTTTTAAATATATTATGCCTATATTGTTTTATATTTTATTATATATTACATCTATTTTATATATCTATTATATGTATATTGTACCTAGTTTATATAAATAAATTATTTATGCACAGGCAATGCTTAATCTGCAAATCTGTAAAAGCTATTTTATAGGTTTACTTTTTACATTTTATTACACAACAATATTTCTTATTCTATCGTATATATTTGGTTCATTAATATCGCTTATGCGGAGAAAAGAAGTCTTCTGTAAAATTTCGGATCCGATGTCCTGCTGTGGCGTATTTGCATTGTAAGTGCCTTCATTTTCGTCGATGCTTAAATTACTCAAGTTATGCATCACAACGGATCTGATATGCACGGGATCCTCGGAAGTGCTTTCTTGTACGGGGCCTCTATAATTACGATCGTAAATTGACATCAACGATATACTTCGTATGTAATCTATGTCCATTTGCGGGTCTGCCACAATTTTTAGCGTATTAAAATTTATTGTAGCCTCCGAAATAGCGGGCATTTTGTCCCGTTCTCTCTTCCAGCGTACACATTTCTTAACTTCACAACTCAAAATAATTTTCTTCCTTCTCGAAAGACGCTTGATTTTTATAAATGGTCTCGGTAGCCTCTTTGTTTTCCCCATATGTGGTGCCAAATATTTCATACGTTGTACCAAAGAATTATCAATCGATCATTTTGTTGTTATATTATCGCTTCACATTGCCCACATGTTCATACATTTTAGTACTGATTCGATAAGATATGTAATATTCTGTAATAAACATTGCATTCAGTTATTAATTTGTTCGCAGCAGTAAGTATAACTTAATTGTTGTAATTATCATTTATTATCAATTAAATATAATTTCATTTTCTATATCCTATTTTTATTACGCTTCTCTAATAAACCAACATTATATTGTATTCAATTAATACAATGATAATTATATCTATATGTTTCAGATTAAAAATGCCAAGTATTTTTAGAAGCTGCTATTTTAGTAGCCACTTAATTGAAATCAGATTTTGATTCAAATAAATTCGAATTGGAATATTTCTGAAGATAAAGTAATTTGATATTGACCAAAATTTGACATAAATTTGGTCAATATGACATCAAATTGACATCATCCTGACTTTTTGTTCTCCTTGGGTTGGGATAGAGTCGAGTACCGCAGTGTACTTTACGCTATACTATAGTAACTACAGTACTATAGTGAACTCTATACTAACTGTATAATACAGTATACTATGTGTACTCCATATTATACTATATATTACACTATATATTACAGTACAGTGTAGTGTACACTGTACAGTACAGTACGCACTACAGTATACTGTAGTATAAGAATTGGAGTATCGTTCTGCTATCGCCACCTAGTGGCTGAAAGTATCACATTTTGCGCAAAGCAGACCATCAGTACACAATATCACATACGTACCTGTTAAAACATCATTGGCGTCTGTTTTTAGTGATACTGTATGCAGGATATCGAGTACGTTTGGTCTTCTTTTGATATCCGATGGTCTGTTAATGTTTAAACTATCAACCAGACGCAATCTTTTCCTCGGACTGGTACTACAACATGAAATTACACAGCACTTCCCATGATCTACTGCAGCCACTGTGGCTGACTACTAACTGCTGAAAGTCGTGTACTCTGCCATCTAGCCACACTGACTACTAACTATTGTGCGCAAGTGCTTACTATATTTCTGCAGTATCGACATTATGATAAATTATTTGCCTATTAATTTAAATGTTAAAGAAATATCATTGTTACATTAATTATATTGAGTTAAAATTGAAAATATTTATATTAATATGAAACATACAATATTTAGTGCTATTCGTTTTGGATAAAATATTTGCATAGAGAAAGAGAGATGTGAAAACAAAATTAATAGTCGCGAATAATGATGAGAAGTACATTGGAATATAGTAAAGTTAATCGCGAGTATTTTTTAATTGAAAATATTTGTAAATGTTTTTAGCGGTCGACTATTTTTTTACAAGCCTCTGAATTATATGTATTTTTCTGAATAATTATGTTAATAAATAGAAAGAACACTCATAAATATGCATATCATTATTTATATCCGTCCACGTATGGAATTCACTTCGTTTATTCCATGTAATACCGTTTTAGAGATTTTAGGATAAGTTTGTCATATACAGTTATATTACTTGCCTCTGATTTGGAGATAAAAAGAGGCTTTCAAAATTTATTATTTTCGTAACTACGTCAATAAAAACGTCTGCTGGAAGAATTGATAAAGTTATATAGTAGCTGTAGCTCATTAAAAATACATGATTCTACCCCATGTCTCTCAAAGCAGCAAGAAAGTATCAAATATCAAATAAGATATCGACTGGCAGATAATAAAATTGCGGTCATATCGTATATCGCAGGAAAATTTAATCATTAGTCAGATGAAGTCGGTGCATTGGTTGGTTTAATTATTATGAAAATATGACAATTTTAAAACGGATTCGGTTATGTAGAACCTGAGATACGAACTGTATAACCACAATGTATAATAACTTGAGTATATTCATTTGAGATGACCGCAATTATACTATGTTTTCGCTTCCCAGCCACGTGAAAGTTTACCAGACGTCTAACAGACGTCCTAATCTTACAATTCTTCTTTTATTTCTCTTCATATCTTCTGCAGATTTTCTTTAGCCATTATTTTTTCTCGTCCAAGTTAAATTAACCCTTTCAGTATTAGAAAAAGAATTCAATCTCGAAACGAGAACGATTTCCACTTTTATCAAACGTCAAACTCGCCGAAGTTTAAAAGAATTATTACAGCAGTTCAAGGATTTAATATAACAGTTTATGGCCATTTTTCCGCCTTGAGACATTCGAAGCGATAAATTATTAATAAACAATTATTATACAATCGCTAAACTGGTGTCCTCGACATTTTTATAAGCATACTCTTCGAAAATTCTTCAATATGCAACGTCACGTTCAATACATATTCAATAATGTACCGCCAAGTGACGAAAAACTCATTGTATCGGGCAACGTCGATATTAGACTGAAAACGAAATGTCTGAAAATAGCTCATTTGTTAAAAATCGGTTTATTATACCGCGATGGCTTAATCCCCCCCCGAAGAACGTTGAGTAAGGCACAGCCGTAGGTAGCGCTTCCGCGCTTCGGCGTCGGGCGGAAAGAATCTGCGCACGTGCACCGGGCACGACCGACCTGACCTGACTGAAGCAAAGGGATGATCAATAACTTCCAGGATATATAAGGCTCCGTTCCGGTAGAGCGTGTGCACCTCTTGAGTTCACGTGATCGGTTTATCGCGCACCACGGACCCCTAGCCTCGATCGCGTTATCGGCGACTGCGTTTCAAATTGGTCTGTACGCCAGATAACATCGGCGAGGTATTACATCCATTGGGTATATAAGTGCTTAGCGTGTATAAGATGCACCGATATTACGACGGGGTTTATCGGTCGTAGTAATGTAAGGTTTTCCATTTGTTCCGCTATGAACGATCCCGGCAGCGTAAAAATCGAGCGTGCACGATGTTACGACGGTGCCTGTCGGAGTGAGCGTTTTCGGTAACAGTGTTTCGATATGCAAACGAAAAAAAAACATGAAGCGAAACGTTAACTCTCCGACGAAATTACCCTTCGACGGATCATTAGCGTCGAGAGGCAATGTGCACGCACGATTTCCGCCAACATGGCATCACGTTTCTTTTCTTCTTGCGAGAAATACGGTAAATATGACTAATCCCCTCTTCTTCTACCGCGATGCAGGGCGATGCGAGCCCAAATTTTACTCTCCCACGCGTGCTTGTACAATTAAAATATTCACGTTCCTCTTAGTGAACACATAAAATATTTATATCTTACAAAACAAGTTCATTCCATTAGAGATTTTGGCCAAAAGACAGCTGAAGAGATTTTGCGCAACGACATAACAAGATCGTATAATTAACATCTGAAATTTTTACACGTCCGTCTATCGTTTGAGATCAATTGCTCTCGGCTCACTAAGTTTTTCACGAAGAAGATACGCGTCTGCCGATATCGTTCACTGCACAGTCAACAGCCATAAGCGACATAAGAAACTGTCAAACCTATAAAAAATATGAATATTCTTACGAGGCTTTGCAACACATCCACGGATACTCGTGTATGACAATAGAGTAACGCTTCAATAGGACAGTACGGCGTATGCAATTCTTCTGTTTTCGCGGCTCACATTCTTTTCCACACGTCTCCGGACGTGTGGCATGGTGTAGGCCTCCTGGGGATTCCCGCCATGTAAAAAAACGGGAACGCGTCCGAGGCACGGTACCCCCTGGGTGACGAGGAAAGCCGTGCTATTTTCTGTTAATTGCCGGGATTCATTCATGGGCAAATCGCCGCTTTATTCCGCGTTTTCCCAGCGATCTCTCGGGCGAGCGCTTACGCGCGGCGAGCGCCGCGAGAAAGTCAGCGCCGGTTTTGAGTGGCGCCGCGATTAATTTACCGCGGGCGAACTTTACGCTCTTAGCCACTCGCATTGTTTCGTAATGCCTCCTTTTTTTTCCGGGGAAAAACGCCGCGCAGAGCGGCGTTCCACTAATTTTTGGGCGCGGCTGCTACGCGCTAATCGACTGTAAATAAACTCCGAACAACCGTTCTACGAAATAATTACGTCCCGAGTGCACTCGCGTTTACGTTATCGTAATTTCCAATCTTCTGTAGTTAATGCACATAATTAGTTCCCTCCTATTTTTTTCTTCTTTTTCTTAATTAAAGTCGTATCCACGCTTCATCGTCTCTCGTCGCGCGCGCGCAACTCGTAGACACACAGCGTCGTAACGGCGCGCCGTAAATCGAGTTTCGCCCAACTCTGTGCACGACAGAAAATCTCACCTTAATGAGTGAAACCTGTATCTATTAAGGCCTAACACCCATCGTCCAGTCCGCGTCTGCCGCCGCGCCGGTAAAACGCTAACCGAGCGATTAAATTCATTGTGGAAAGCGTTATTATTGTACGGAGGCGCGCGATGTATGTACCATTGTTCGGCGAGGAAATCGCAATCGAAATCGCGGAGACGTGTGACGGCACGTTGACGCGTTGACGAAAAAACAGTAGCATCTCCGTCGCGCCTACTTACCTACTTACCGTCCTTTGCAGCTGCCGCATTTCGGTCCCCCTCGAAAAACCGTCTAATGTGTGCCCTTTGCCCGTCCCACTTGCACGGACGGATCTCTGAAATGCGCACGGTCATCGTCCCATTTCGTCAGCCCGTTTCCGCCGCTTAATAATCACCGCCTGCTACTCACGATGATTATGAAGAAGCTGTTTCGCGCGGCGCGACTCGACGGCCTCGAGTGAAAATGACAACGGTCGCCCAGGAGGAAGGTGCACGAAAAGGACGGGGCGAATGCGATTCTTATCGCAGCCGGGAATATGCCAGGCGGATAAAATTGGAATCACGAGGCGAACGTCGTCTTCGTTGGCGAACATCTTCCTCCAGCCGACACACGCGAGCGCGCTTTAGCTCTTGGTAATCGCACGAGGCGCGATTCCTCGTATATCCTCTCGCGCATCTACTTGTATCTCGCATGCGATTTGTGCTTATCGGCATATCCGACGCTTCTCTGCTTAAAAATTGCATCCTCTTCCTCTTTTATTTTTGGTGCCCGCCTCCGACCGCTAGAAGACAATATGGCCGTAGTTCTCTAGTCCAAGTTTTCTCCGAGTCCAAATGAGCGAAAGCTAATCAATAAAATATCTTCTCTAGGTTTCAGCTGCTTGGTTTCAAGGCATTACCCAGCGAGGACGTCGAATCAACGCCAACGGGGTCGAAATCGCGTTTAAATCGTCAGTTTTTGAAAATAATTAAGTCTTGGAGCTTTGTTTTTTTATATTAACTCACTACGTTCAATGTTCTGAACACTTTTAACATTTTATGGGAGAAACCTGCCAAGTTAACTTATTTAATGCAAAATTTAATACAAAAAATTGAGTCTCAACACTTTTAATTATTTTCAAAAACCGACAGTTGGGACGCGATTTCGACGCCATCGACGTCGATTCGACGTGTGTGTTCTCACTGGGTATTAGTCGCATCTTACAACACAGAAAGCTAGCTGGATGATCTATTCCTAAGAGGATCACGCCCTAAAAAATTGCCCCGATGACTAGCTGGCGGAGATACAGGGATGCCGCGAAATGTAATGGTAACCAGAGACCCTGTAATCAGAGACTGGTCATAAGAGTTGAGTCAAATTCCCGCGAGTGAGAAGAGAAACATAGGCTATCTCGCTCTTCTACGATCGTAGAATCTGTAGCCTATGTTTCTCTCTCACTCGCGGGAATTCGACGAACTCTTATGGCCAGTCTCTGATTACAGGGTCTCTAATGGTAACAATAAGCGTGCACGGTCTATTATTAGCGAGACGCACTAATAGAGCCGCACGTGCGCATATATGGCACTATTTCCTTCAGCATGACAAGAGCGCAATATAAACACCCACGTAAGATGTATTAACCTACTCAGGCAGGGCATTACGTATTACCGATCGATTCTCGGGTAAAGTGTACTCCAGAGCTGTCGCTATTCACGTCATCTGTGCGGATGCTGCAGTCTCGAAGTGCTCCACCGTATTCACGACGACTTTCAGATAATAATCAACATCATCCGATTGCGTCCATAAATTTCCTAACTGCTGGCGTTAAATTTTCTCGATGAGCGTCGCG